CACCACAGGCTGCCCAGGAAGCCTCTGGAAAGATCAAGAGTTCACCCTGTTTCACAGAGGGAAGCAGCTCCAAACCCAGCCGAGTCAGCAAAGCATAATCACACCAGGGGCTTTGCTTAATTACAGGTTTGAGAGCTAGGGCTGGAGGAAGAGAGATACTTAACTGTATCCCAGGGAAGGCCAGGCACTCGAATGATCTGTAGGGTTGGAGAACACAAAAATCCCATCTACACAAACACACACCCAGCTCACCAAGCCAGGATCCTGGGGTCTGCAGCATGGCAGACTCAGTCTGGCTGGGAACAGCCGTCCTGGGGAAGCTGTAATATTCAGTTGAGAGGGAGTCCCTGGGCTGAGCCAGTCCTGGTCAGCAGTGAGGCCCCAGCCTGGGGAGGCCCAGCCTCTGCCTGCTGCAGGGCCACCCCACCCCCCTGCAACTCACTCTGGGAGGCCAGGGGCCTTCCCGAAGGGGGGAAATCAATCCCCTGCTAATGAATAAAAAGTCCCCTTTATTTCACTGCTGTTTTGGGTTCATTAAATTTTCCAGAGATTTGCAGAGAAGAAAACATAATCAATAAACCCTGACAAAAGTGAATGTGTGAAAAAGGCCAGAGCATGGAAAAGCAAGATAAAAGTGATATCTGATCACAGATTTCAGCAGATGACCAGCTGAGGCCATGAGGAGTCTCAATGGACCATCACCCTTTTTGGCTTCCCTTTCCTTTGCTGAAACCTTCATTCAAGACAACAGTAAAAAGCACTACAGCTTTTTTCTTATGCTAATGAATGAAACCGGGCACTCAGTTAAGACACTCTTCCCAGCAACGTGGTTTTTTTTTTTGTTTTTTTTTTTTTAACAACACACATGCACACACAAAACCACATTAACTTATTCAACTTAAACCAAAATCACAAGGACAGTGTAATATGTACTCTCTGGTCACATCTTAAATGAGTTATTTTCCCGCATTTGTATAAAAGAAACTCGAATCAGAACACACACAGGATTACTGAGGATACTTTTGTTGAAAGAACTGGGGAAAATAAGATACTAACTGCACAGAAAGTAAGCAGTTATCATTGGCGTACTTTCCCACGGCTTTGAACATAGTTTTGAAGGGTAAGGATGTTCTCGTCACCCTCAGGATCTAAAAACAATGATCGATGATCTGTTTTCTTAAGTCCTTTATATTCTACAGCAAACACGCAAATGAATTTCAGAGAAAATGAGTCATATTGAATCTGGAGTCCTGCATTTATTTGAAAACCACGAAGCTGTTGCTGTTTACCAAAGGGCACTGCCAAGCACCAATGTCCAGTGAGGACAAGCCCCAGAGCAGCCTTTCTCCCAGGTCTTTGAAGCTGCGGGGACTCAGCTTGCTGGGACAATCACCTAGCCCACCTCTCTGCACTCTCTGGAATCTGAGGATGCAGTTTCTCTCCTCGGCATTCTTCAGTGTTTCATTTGTCCATGCGCCTGACACTTGCTGGAAAGAAAGGGGAACTGCTTCCCTGCAGTTCTTTTTCAAAGGGCCCTGGCCCAACGGGAACAGCTGCAGCTGTCCACCCGAGGTCCACCTGGTCCACCTGCCTGGAGGCCTTTGGGTACCAGGAAACAGGCTCTGGCACAGGTAGAAACCACCCCTCCACCTAAAGAAGCAAGGCTGGTTTGCGCCACCTCCCTCGGGCCAGCGTCACAATGAGCATCACTCCGTGAAAGAAAGCCCTGTTGAACACACATTTCCTCCAGGAAAAGACAAGCTGCCCTACCTCAAGAATACACACAGATGTAGGACTCGGGCTTTGACCTTTAACAAGCCAGCCACGTGTGCAGGGGGTCACACAGGCTTTCAAAGTGCACATGACAACCTCCAGGTCCCGTTTAAAGGGAATTGCTGGCATCTGTGAGGTGAAGTCCACCTCCCCCACCCTAACCCCCACCCTGCAAGACCCCATGGATGAAGGGTGTTTATTGGGCAAATATCCAATTCTGTCTGCCTGCCTGCTGAATCCCCTGGTTTGCTAATCCAGCCCTAGGGGCTACACTGTGTACAGGACACTTGTGGGAGTACAAAAAGCCTGAAGTATTTGTGTATTTTTCAGTCCACAGTGCAAACAAGCCAGCTACAGCACACAGCTCCCAAGCCCCCTGAAGCCAGGCAGTGAGCCGCTGACGGGTGGCCCTGTGGTCCCTTCCTCTGACCAGGCAAATCAAAGGACCTCCTCCGTCAGGGCTCTCCCACAGGTGGGCTGGAGCATCCCTGAGAAAGTGGAGTGGCACTCCATTCTAGGGTGCCCTGCCGAAGGGTCTAGCCTACCTCCACACACACACACACACACACACACACACACACTTCAAGGCCAGGACCAGGGTCAGTGTGAGTTTGCCAGTGGCCTGGGAGGCTCGTCGGAGTCTCTCCCGGAACAATTCCCACTGAAGATAAAAACGGCTTCCCCAGTCCCACCTTGTTCCTCAGTGAGCCCGGCCCTGGCTGGGAGCTTCTCTCCCTCATGCTCACCTGCTGACGGCAAACAGACCGCTCTGACCATGGTCTCCCTCAGATCCGGACCAGGCAGGGCCCGGTCACCTGCAGGCTGTGTCCTGGGCCCCGGCTCCCCACCTGGAATGGAGCTTCCTGCAAGTAAACACCCCCAGAACCACTACATTACCCCACAAAAAGTGGCCTGCTTCTCAAAGCAGAGGAGAAATACAAAACGATCCTAAGGATAACCAACTTGGAAACACTCAGACAAGTGACAACTTTCCCTATGTGGGTTGGAGTGGAATTTAAATCTGGGATAGAACATCTCCACAATTTCCTGTAACCTTCCCCAGTAGGAGGGAGAAGCTGCAAGTCTAAGAAAACGAAAGCAAGAAAGATGAAGAGGAGCAAGGGAGGGAAGAGGCCCAGGCAGGAGAGGCCCTAGAGAAGGTGCAGCTGCCAGTTCTAGATCCCACAGTCCATAAGTACTGCCCCAGGGCAGACCAGAAGCTGGGAGAGCCCAGAGGGCATCAAACCTCCAAGCAGCCAGCCTTAGCCAAGGTGTGTTCCCCTCCCCTGGGAGACCAGCCTAGGCAGCCACACAATGATTTCCTCCAGACGGACCCAGGCAAGGCCGCTCCCGGGCCCAGGCGGCTGTGCGGTCGCGGGCGAGGGAAGGGAGCTCCCAGGCCAGCAGCCAAGGTAAGAAAGTGGGGAGGGAGGGGCTTTGGAGGTGAGGTGGCACAAACAGACCTCATCAGGGGACTGGTGACGAACCGCCTATTCCCCTGCTTTCCGCCGCTGTATATTTTGGATTTCACAGTTTATTTACTTTACTTTTTGGCACCGAGCCCCCTGAGCATGCCAATACAATATTTGTTTAAACACTATTTTATGCCGCTTGCGAGGGAAACGTTTACTTTCAAATTCTCCAACATCCCCCAGAGCCTCGTCTGCAAACAGCATATGAGCGTTTTACAACTGCTCCCTTTATCTGAAGCTGTCGGGATTAAACCTTCACACAGCCCGCGGGGGCGGCGGGAGGGGGGCCCAGGACTTGGCCGCGGCCACCAGGCTGCAAAGCCCGCGCGGGAGGCGGTGCACCGAGCGCGCTGCCGGGGCCGGAGAGCAGAGGAGCGAATAAGACCCCCACGGTCGGCACCAGATGCTACGGAAAGGTCTACTGTTCCAGCCTCGATCAACTCTGAGAGCCACATAAAAATCATACAAAAGAGAGAGGGACGGGGGAAGGACCCTAGCGGGACCAAAGGCCCGCCGGCGCCTAAGCCGCGGGTCACCAGGGTGAAGCGCGCGGCTCCATCCCCAGCTACTGTCTCTGTAGAAGTCGGGTTTCCTAGGAAATGACAGCAATTCCTGCCCAGCTGAAAAGGCGCTGAGTTGGGTGGACTTCCAGCTCCCCGACGCGGCGGGAGCGCTCACACTCACACACACACACACACACACACACACACACACACACCACATGCTCCTTCCTCCTCCCCTCCCCACACCCCCGCCCCCATTCAGGGAAACCGCTCCCCTCCCTAAACCCTTAATAGGATTGGCGCCCAACTCTCTCCGCGCCTCTCCCCATCCATCACACACAGATCAAGTTGCAGTAGTGGATTTTTCAAATTCCTCAGCAAATATACTTGTTGAGAGATTGGCCCGGAGGGTGGGGTGCGGGGGGAAACAAATGGGGGCGGGGATGAAAGTGAGGGTGGGGGGACCCGAGGACCCGGCGAGGGATTACGCGCGGATCCCTTCGGGAAGTCAAGCGGATCTCGGGGTGGAGGGCAGGAGGAGGAGGAAGAGGAGGAGGAGGAGGAGGGGGAAATCGAGGAGGGAGACCGGAGAGGGGAGCCTGACCGAGGGGGAGGGGGCGACAAGGCCTGAGGAGGGGGAGGAAGGAGCGAGGAAGAAAGAAAGGCAGGGCTCCGGGACGTGTCGCACGGAGAAGTGCAGTTAGAAGTTCACAAGTGGGTGGCTGCAGCCCCTCTACACAGCACAGTCCCCTCAGGCACACTCCCACTGCCCACCTCCCGGAGTTTCGCAGCATCTCAGTGTCTTTTGCCAACCCCCCTGCCCCCCCCCACCCACACACACACCCCTCCCGCTAAAACAGCCCCGGGCTCGGGCGCGGTGGAGAAAGGGCGAGGGCGGGCCCTCTGTGCACCCGGAGAAAAGAGGCTCTTACCCCCAGGTAGGAAGGGGGATGCGCGCACACACGCGCACACACACACACACACACACAGCCCCCGCGCTAGCCCGGCCACGAGTTCCTAGCCCCCGAACTCCCCCGTTACGTCCCCACCCGCCTTGGCCAAATCCCGGAGAAGGTCCGCCCCACCACCCCCGGTCCCCCTAAAGCCGGTGTCCGATCCCCGCTCCGAGTCACCCTCCGAGACGGCACAGCATCTCAGCCGGCCCGGGTTCGGCCGGGGAAGGGGGCACTGCTCAACGAAAAGCAAGCAAAAGAAGGCCAATGCAACTTTATCGATGGAGACAAAAGTTTACCTCTAGTACGCAGGTGGCCTCTTGGGAGCCAGGCAGTGGCTGCTAGCCCCCATCCCAACTTGGCTGGCGTGGCGACCCGCCGCCGGCTGCCGTGTGCAGGGGCTCAGCCCGGGCGGGGCGGGGCGGGACAGGCAGGAGAGGGCACCGAGAGGCGGGCGGGAGGCTCCCGAGGCTTCGGCGTGCCGCACGGCCTGCGCTACTTCCTCCAGCTACCCCGGCCCTTCCTCGCCTGCCTCAGCGGCCGCCGCCGCCGCCTCCCGCTCCTTCTCGAAGTCTCATTGATGGGAGTTTGAAAAAAGTCCACGGAGCCGTGCTGCCTCGGCTGGCGAGCTCCGGCACTCCCGCAATCCGGCGCCGCCCGGACGGCGCAGCGCCCCCGCGCGCACGGCGGCAGCACACCGGGCGCCGCTCACCCGCCCGCGCCGCGTGCACCCAGCCGGGGGGACCCCGGGGACCCGGAGGGGAGGAGGCGGCCGAGGACGCTCCTCCCTAGCCCAGTGGAGAGAAAGCACACCTACAAGGAAAGTTCGAGCAGAGAACGAAAGAACGCGCCAGTCTCCAACACTTCTTTTTAGGCGCCGGGGTGGGTGGGGGGTCGCTAACTCAAGTCAGATGAGCTCCGGAGCTGAGGCGCAGGGACTGCTCTGTTTTCAATCTCTGAAATCACCCGCCTCCCCACCTCCCTCTTCCCCTCCGCCGGGAGATGCCCGGGTCGCTGCTCCCAGTGCGCCCGCTTCCTCGGGCGCCGGGGCGGGAACCGGGGACGGAGGGAAGGGGAGGGGGTCCCTGGCTCTGCGCGGAGCCTCTCCAGCCTGCAGCTCGGGCAGGTGCCGGGGGTCCTTCCTGCGCCCCCCGCCGCGGCTGGCGCAAGTAGCCATTTGAGCGCAGGTTGGCGAGAAGCGAGACAGCCTTCTAGGGTTAGTGCATGTGTGCTTTGTAGGGAGGGTTTTTGTTTTGTTTTGTTTTGTTTTTAGAGACTCCACTGGAGCCGCAGCCAGATGGAAGTAATCAGAATCCAACAACAGAGGAAGAAGGAAGAAAAAACTTCACTGAATTTTGGGGGTAAAATGTGTATGGGGGTGTGTGAAAGAAGTTGTTAGGCAAACTAGGCGACTAGCCCTGGGCCCTCGGGCTGCACCACAGCGCCCAGCTGGTTCCGGGCTTGGAGAAGCGGGAGGGCAGCCGGCCACCGTGTCCCCCACGCCCCCAGGGACCGCCAACCTCCCCAGAAGTGAGGGTCCTCACCACTGGGAGGATTTTTTATTTTTCTTCCTAACATTGGTGGAGCACCCTACTATGTGCTAGGTGACATGCTTTATTTCCTTTATTTTATTTAACCCACGAACATTTGTGAGATAGGTTCTCTGGTACCCAGAAGTTGTCCAAAGCTGGAGCACTGGCGCCGACCTTTCCCAGGAGTTTCCGTGGGCTGTACCATTAGTTCAGCCAGATTCATCGAGTTCAGGTGGTGGGAGCATCTCTCTCTCCGCCCCTCTTCCGACTGGTGGGTCTTGTCTGGAAAGAAGGGGAACCCTAGGCTCAGAGATCCAGTCTGCCCTCCCTGTGGGAGTGTGACCTGCACAGGCCCATTTCACTGAGGTAATTCCTTTTTGTCAGTAGGTCCCTCCGTGCACCATTGACCCTCCCCTAACTTTATTTTTCACTTTTTTTTCCACAGTACAAAAGTATTTAGTAAGCACCACGTCAGTAAAGAAAACACATAACCTATAGCTCATCCTTTAAAACCAGAACAGGCGTGTGAAAAGTCAGCAGATTCTTATTTTTACTTTAAAAGAAAATCTAAGGTACACATTGGGAACTGAACTGTTTTCTTTCTAGAGATGTAGCTCCCATGTCCTCTTACCCTCCTTCCTTCCCTCTCCTTCCCTTCATTTATATGAGAGAAACAACAATTTCTTCTTGACCTAGAGAAAAAATATATGCAGAACAATATTAGAGCAATTTGATGCTAATTTTGTTTTTCTCAAATAGGCTCTCCAGATGGGAGTGGGGAACCTGCAAGGTTTTAAAAAGCAAAACTTCCAGAAGCCAGTGTATGTATTAAAGGGAAGTGAAATTTGAAAGGGGCTTTTTCTTTAAATCTGATCAGATTCACCATTCCTCCATGTTATTTGTTTGAATTCCTGCTGAGCTTTCAGAACACAGACTCTAAGGAGACAGAAAAAGTAAACGCTCCCTCCCTCCTTGGCCATAGTTTAATGACCCTGTTCATATCCACCCCAGGAAATGTGGAGAATCATTTCATGTCACAGGGATATTAGCAGCGCCGGCTGATTACTTCATTACAAGCTTGTCTCTGTTGGTTTCCTTGTGTTGTTAAGTTTGCGAAGTTTAAACAAATCAACATTTTGGGATATTTCCTTCTCTCTGTTTTGCTCCCCAGACCAGCTGCACTGCTGCAGGAATCCGGGCACTCCCATCGCCGTTCCTGGCTTATTTTGGCGAGACGGTGGCTGTGGAGATGAAGACGGAATGTTTCCAGTTTGAGGAGAGGCTGCAGACGCCTGAATCTCTAGATGGTCAGAGCTTTGGGCACTGGAGCAACAGAAGGCCTGGAGCAGAGGCAGTCTGGGACAGCAGGGACAGCCTCCACCTGAGCTCGGGGCACCAGTTCCTGTTCCCAAGTCCAGTACTAAATATATGAACTCGGGCAAGTCCCAGTCCATTCCATCAGCAGCTTTCTGTGTGCCAGGCGCTGTGCCAAGTGATGTGACATTGCAGTGAGGGAGACTTGTGGGACCCTCTTCCTCACGGGCTTCATGTTCCCTCAAGCTCTGAAAATGCGTTCACTCGCCTGCCTGGTGGTCCTGCTGGCCGCTGCCTGGGGGCCTCTCCGTGTGGTCTCTCTACTTAGACTAGTTCGGACTTCCTCACGCCTGGGGGCCTGGGGTAACGGGTGCCAAGGGTGAGCCTGATGGGAAATAACCAGAGCCCTGTTGCCTTTTAGGAAACCCTCAAGTCACACAGCATCACTCGGCTGCATTCTGTTCACTGAGACCTGAGGTTCTAGGTTTGAAGGGGAGGGAGATAGACTCTGCTTCTGAGGAGCATCCTGGGCAGAGATGGTGCTGCGGAGACACGGTCTGCCACACAGACTGGACACACAGGAAGACCACAGGCAGCCAGCAGGTGGCTTTGGGGGCTTGGCCACAAAGCCCAGGAGCAAGCACACAGCACTAGAAGGTAGTGGGAGACCCAGCCCCACCCTCCAGGAGTCCACACTCTCTTCAAGAGATGCACAGATGCGGCCACAATTTTAGGATACGACATGATGGCCTGAGTGAGGAGAGGCTGTGGCTGAGAGGAGCTGGTGGCAGACTCAACAGCCAGTCAGACAGGCCGAAGAAGAGAGGCAGTGAGGGTGTCGGAACAGCAAGGGGCAGTCCAAGTGGATTGACGTGGTGTTACTTTTGAGGGCTCTTGCAGGCCCGTCTCACTGCCCCTCCACCTCAGCATGCACCCCACGGGCTCTCGGGTCAGTACGCTGAATAGCCTGGTTTCCTTTGACGGAAGGTCTGTATTCATGGTGCATGTACCCTCGGGACGGTTAACGTGAAAACTTTCTAAGGGATACTGCTATGAAAACATTTATTAGATTTTTCCCAAAGAACAAGTTTATATAGGAGGAGTAAGAAATATAACAATGGCACATGAGGGGACACTAATGGGGGACAAGTGCTCAAAGAGAAGATGCTAGACAGGCCAAAGACCAATAAGTATTTCTAATTTGTAGACCAAATCTTTACCCGCTCCAGCCAGCGCTGTGGGGTAACGCAGTGTGGAGGTGTGCACAGGGGGTGCGTGCGGTTGGGAGATGTCAGGATTCCTCTCCACAGAAGCAACCAGTTGAAACCCTTTTCCCTTTCAGGGGTACCCTAAAGGACAGCTGGGAGAGAGTCCAGTGCACAAGGACCAAAACCCTGAGTAATGAATTCATTCATTCATACCTATATGAATGCATCCATTCATTCATCCTTGTTGAGCTCCTAGCAGGTATCATGCCCTTTGGAGATAAAAAGGTGAATGAAATACAGTCCTACCTTCCTCCACCTGCTAGTCCTCACTGGGGTACTCTCTCAGGCCCCTATGTCAGCTTAGACTAGTGAGGACTATGAAGGAGGCTGCCGTGTGCAGGACAGATTGGAGAAGGAAAGAGCTTTGAAGGGGCACCGTGGGACATTGGTGCAGCCCTCCTGGGGAAGAGAGAGGAGGGGACAAAATCAGCAGGGCTTAGAGACCCAGTGTGTGTTTGCCAGGCTGTCTCCCACTCGGGGCCAGCCTCTCCAGGACTTCTCAAGGTGCCTTGTGGGTTTCTTACCCAAAATGAAAAAGACAGCATCACCTCATATCCACCAGTGAGTGAGTCTAAGAAATATCAGTAGTCCTCACCAATCACATAGCAACAAGACCTTATTTCAAGACAGCTTAAAAAGAAATTATTAAAGACCTAATTAAAATACAATGAAATGATTATAAGATCCTGAACTGACCTACACATTGATCTTAAGGATAGCCTCCATGCCCTTGGTGCATTAAATTTACCTTCAATTAATGGCTTCTGTTAGGAGTTACTGGGAAGCAGCGGAGAGACAGTGTGGGAGATGGCCCTTTTCTAAGACAGCCACGCCCTTGCGTTTGACCCACTCCATTCCTTTATCCAGTAGAAGGAAGGTGATGTGGAAGTCACTTGTGGACTGCATTAAAAGAACATTTAAACTCAAATCTTTCCCAAATGCATATAGATAATTTCTTTGACATCTCCTTCATTATCTATTGTTTTATTAATGTTTCAACTAGTCTTTTAAAATGTTTGGTGGCAACGGTCTGTTTGTGCCTGGGTTACTTGGTGAGCCTCACGTTGCCAGAAATCAGCTGGAGAGAGGAAGGTCCCACTGCCTGTGAATAATTTGAAGAAGGAAGGAGATGGTTTGGGGAACCCCTGGCAGACCTGCAGGTGGAGGGCATCTGCCAAGTGGAAGCAGGAACCTCTCTCAGGAAAGCCAGCGAGCTGGGGAACAGCGGAGGCTGGCCCTCACAGGTGTATT